TTCCACATTTTTTTTACGTAATTTCAGATGAGTGTTTTTTTTGTTTATTTATTTAAGTAGATTGTATATTTTTTCATATGAAATAAAGTTTGAAATTGATTGTACGTGATAATGGTAGCCGGGTGTGTTATACTTATAAACGGCTGCCGGTCGGATACCGGGTGAAGTTATTCGGGTCCGGTTTGGGTCCGGGTACGGAGTTGTCGGGTCGGTTCGGACTCGGGTACGGAAAAAAAGCTCCGGTCCAGTTTCTGGTGAAAAAAAGTGCACCCGTGCAGCACTCTGCTGTGATGGGAAGGTTTGTAAAAATCTGGACATATTAGTTTTCAGGTCGCATAAAACTATTATTCAACAATGTCATTGTATACTAAAATCACTATCTAGATTTGATCTAATTGTTTAATATTATGGAAATTATTGTTAACCGTTTTGTTTGATGATTTTAATATTTCTTATTTTATATAGTGGTTATGATTTTGGTTATTTACTCAAAATGCTTACTGGAAAATTATTACCAGATACTGAAAGTGAATTTTTTGAATTATTAAAAATATTTTTTCCAACTATTGATGGTGTCAAATATTTAATGAAAAGTTGTAAAAACCTTAAAGGTGGTCTTGAAGAAGTGGCTAAACAACTTGAAGTAAATATTTTTCTTTGTCGTTGTTGTTGTTGTATTATTATTTGATATCTATTTTAGATTGAACGTATTGGCCCACAACATCAAGCTGATAGTGATAATTTAATGGCTAGTTTAGTATTTTTTAAAATGAAAGAATTATTATTCGAAGATTCTATTGATGAAGGAAAATATTCAGGACATTCATATGGTCTTGGACATTCAACATTTCCAGCTGGTGGATTTGTTTATGAAAATAAAAGTCCGTAAAGATCTTGCATCATACATTTCTGTTTCCCTTTTTTTGTTCATATTGCTAGCGTTATGTATGCCATCTGTACAAAAGAGTCAAGAAAGATCGAAACAATAGAAGGAAAAAAGGAAAACAATTCGCACAAACATAATTATCAAAGAAAAATTAAATTTTTTTCGTATAATTTATGTTGATGATAATGAAATTAAAAAGTCTTCAAATAGTCTACTTCATAGATGATCATTTTCGACTGAGAGTACGATGATGTAAATAGACTATAGTTAGAAGTGAAGTATTCTATGTTGATTTGTTGTGCAAATTGCTTTTAACAGAAATTGTCAATTTTCTAATTCACAGATGAAGTTTTCAGTTTTGTTCCACAATCTAAGTTTTCTCGAAGAAGCGCAGTTACATTTGACTAAAATTTTCTAATGCGTTCATCGAAATGTTTCTATTATTGTGGCTTTCATGTTTATTACTAGTAGTATAATAATTTAAGTTTGGCTTCAATGATTGCAGTCAATTTCGACCAATGGCTATCTAACTGTTGAGCTGCTCTTCAAATGCATGTAGATATTTGTCTAAAAACTGTGTAGTAATTTCAGTTGTTAGACTACTTTCTAATTCTGTCCTTATATGTCTGTAAAGGTTCTCTAATACGTCATCGATCAATATTTTGACATTTAAAACTTCCAGTATTCAATTACGAAAGATTTCAATGATTGGATTCGATTTCAATTATTACTTGTTCAACTTGCAGAAATTATGTGTCATCAAAATAATCGTGGGTCTTATTGGTGTTTGTATGTTGACGATATTCCATTGAATAGAATTTTGCCATTCCACAGGTGAAAGTTATTTTCATATGCTTGGAACAATATGCATTATAGTGGTTCCAAAAAAAATTGACGATACTGGAGAGAAGTTCACTGTCGGTTTATTTTGTCGAACTATTCTGGTTCCTATCTAAGTGCATCAATTATAGAAAATTGCAATTAAAATGTATGAATAGCTCACTGAATATGTAGGTGACTCTGTGGTTCTTTAGAAGTTCGGAAAATTACAGCGTTTTAACTCTATTCGGTGTAGAGATATGAACCTGACAGTATCAACAGATTCATAAGTTAGCGTTCTCTGACACGTAAAACTTAACTTTTCGCAGTAAAGTCATACAAGTAGAGAGCTCACAATGACTGCTTGCGATAGAAAAATCTTCATCCTTGAATGCTTCTTTGGAAAAGCACATTGACAAAGAAGTAGAAAGA